AAGAGAATGGTTAGTTCTGGGCCAGCTCTCTGGGCTAATCTACCCTTGGCTCTTTCTATTTACAATAATATCTGACTCTAACTCCAGGGTGCTATGCCTTCACAATGCATAAACAGAGTTACTCGTCGAATCCCTCTCGCTATTAATTTCTACTGAGTAGAACCAAAACTGGTTCTGAAATTTAAAAGAACTCAACAGCCTCACTTACCTTTTTTAAGATGAAAATTCTGATCAGTACAAACAGCACGCCAGACATGAAACCAGACAACAGTGGAGATATAAACCAAGAAGCAACTGAATAATTAAAAAAAAAAAAAAAAAAAGCTAATGAATGTTAAAATTCATATGTAATCACGGCCATATTTATAGAATACCATGATAGCCATAATATATTACATACATTAATAAATATTCCCAGAATTGTTTACCTTTTTTTCAGAACCTAACAAGCCCTTGTGACTCGGCAGAGCTGACGCGTTTACAGCTATCCTCAGACACGAACACAGTCACACGTAACTGGTCCCACCAGCAGTGCGTGGCCAAGTGACCATGTCCCACAGAGCCCCCTGCCTCCCTTCTTATCAGTGTATACGGAGAACCTGTGCTTGTCCCAACAGTGCAGGCCGTGTAAAAGATGGGCCAACTTCCATTTCATTTTCCACGAGTAGCCCGCTACTTTCATTCCTGACATCTAACTCTGGGAACCTTGAGACTCTGAGCCCCTAGCCAGGTAGTTCTCAGCTCTGGCCGCACACTGGAACCACGTGGGGAGGGTTCAAAAACTTGTTATTATCTGGCTCCACCTCCAGAATTCTGATTTAGGAGGCCTGGGATGGGGCCTGGGCTTTGGTAGTTTTAAATTGCTTCCCCGAGTAATTCTCAAGTGCAGCTGGGGCTGAGAACCACTGTTGTAAGAAGCGCAGGGTATAAGGTGATTTTCCAGGTAGTCTGTGTCCCTGTTTGGCAGGTGAGGGACACAGTTGATCCAGAGCTCCAAGACCACTGAGATTCTGGTTTAAGAAAAAAAAAAACAAAAGAGTAACCCAGGGGATGCAGGTGGCATAAGAAAATTTTTCACAACTCGTGGTTTGCTGCTTATGAGGTTGAATGGATTTGCCTCCAGGAGGTTAAGTTCCTAGGCCTTCACACGAGGCAGGCCTGGCACCCAGAAGGAACACTCGGCAGGGCCCTGCTTCCCGGGGGCCAGACTGGAGGCCCCGCGAACGCAGGAGTCACGCGGGGCTCACTCGGAGGCTTCCCCACCGCCGTGACTCCTGGATTCGTGCCGTGTTCCTTCCTGGGGCCTCGACTTTCTCTGAGCTATAGACCGATTTCGATCGAAAACATTTCTCTTCCGAGAAGAACAAAGAGTGAGCTTTTCAAAGCTAGATGCCAATGCAACATCTTAAAAGAGCGGAGTTAAAAAACTATCTAACACGTAACAGTTCACCATCTCCGATGACAGAAATTTCAAGGGAAAATGCATGACCCATACCATGTAGGTCTTCTAAACCTTGGCATGTGAAGGGAAAAGATAAAAGGTCACATTTAATAAAACTTACTCTAGAAAAGGCAAACCGTCCTCACAGGTAAAAGAGAATGGCAATTACCGATCTTGACGAGCTCCATCCACTGCACACCTTTTGTGCCGATGGCAACGAGCGAGAAGCCTATGGTGGAGCCGACGATGCAGTGGGTCCCCGAGATCGGGAGCCTCAGGAAGGACGCGATCAGCTGCCAGACAGCCGAACCTACAGAATGAAATAAGGGAGAAAAAGTCAGATACAGAGTGTGGACCCTCAGACAGCCACCAGGGGGAAAAAAAAATCCAAACTGTTGTTCTCTGCAACATCTCCCTGAGTTTAATTTTGATTAGGCCGGGCGCGGCGGCTCACGCCTGTAATCCTAGCACTCTGGGAGGCCGAGGCGGGAAACAGGTCAGGAGTTCGAACCAGCCTGAGCAAGAGTGAGACCTCGTCTCTACTATAAATAGAAAGAAATTAATTGGCCAACTAATATATATAGAAAAAATTAGCCGGGCATGGTGGCTCACGCCTGTAGCCCCAGCTACTCGGGAGGCTGAGGCAGGAGGATCGCTTGAGCCCAGGAGTTTGAGGTTGCTGTGAGCTAGGCTGACGCCACGGCACTCACTCTAGCCTGGGCAATAAGGCGAAACTCTGTCTCATAAAAAAAAATTTTTTTTCTACAGATTGTTTCTTCACAAAGTGCTCCAGTCCCGACAAGAATCATTCAATTAACTGTGGTGGACAGAACGACTACCCCTTCTTCAACATGGCGACTCCGTATCTAACGACGCATCACCTGTTGTCACAGTCAGGTGAGGGTGCTGGAGATGAGCTTGTTCCGAGTGAGGTTTGCCCAAAGCCAAGCAGAAGAGTTAAAAGGGCTCTAGATGAACACGAGAGGAGAAAGGCAACATACTGGAAAGAGGCTTCACTCAGTTGTTCATAAGAGGATCCCTTAGTTTGGGATGCCCTTCCGCCCCAATCCCACCACTCTCTTCCAGGCTTAGTGTTTTTCTGGGCTACAGTTCAGTTCAGGTATTTTCATAAGCAGATCAAATTCTGAAGTGAGCGCCGAAAAGCATCAGCTGGGAGAGATCGCTTTCAGAAACAGTTGCTGAAAGGCCCTGCAGAACTGTAAGGGAACAAAGGGTTCGGCCGATAAGCCGGGCACATTTATTAATCCCAAAGGTTAATTCTGGAAATCTGGTTGCCCCGGCAGCAGCAACAATCCTAAGCAGACTCCTGGCCTTTCCTTCAAAGATATCTGAGTTGCAGAGGGATCATTCGTGGCTGTCAACGGTCCCAGTTCGTGAGGCAACACGAACAGCTGCTCCCATGAGTGCCCGGCGTGCCGACCTTTGAGCTGAGCCGGCCGTGACCCCGTGCCTGTCCCTAGAGCGTACGCTGGGAGGAGAGGGGGCCGGCCTCGTGCCACCAGACGGGAATAGGCTGGGCGGCAGCACCAGGCTCCCCACGGACAAGCCCCTTAAGCCTCCACATCTGAGCTTTGGCTCCTCGGGGACTAGTTGTTTTAAAAGTAAAGCCAGAGTTTGGAGCACGTTTCGTAGCACAGAACCCCAGCTTCAAAAAGTGAACCGCACGATTCATCGTCTTACAGCAGTTAAAATAATCTAATGATGTTAAGAGAATGGGATAAACTTCCCCAGCTGGACTCAGACCATGAGATTTTTTGCTTCCTGACAGCGGCCATCCTGCCTCTGGCTGACTTTACAAAGCGTGTTGTGGAGCGGCAGTTTGTCAGGAGAGGCAGGGGTGCGGGACTGCTGCGTTGGGGAGGAAGAGGGGAGGAGAGGGGGGTGGTAGGGAGGGTGCAGGGGCAGCAGGAGGAGGAGGCAGGAGTACCTGCCTGGGGCCTGGGAGTGCAGAAGCTCCCGGCCTCAGGAACGTTTAATGCCAAGAAGAGCAGTGGGAAAAAGAAAGAGATTTAATTTGGCGTAGGATAATGACATCCTACAAAGAGGAAAGGCATTAAGCATGGGATCAGGGTGCAAGACAATAAACCCTAGGGAAGGTGGGGAGGCAACTGTTCCCTGGGAAGGTGACAGAAATGGCAGAGCAGCCCGGGGTCGCCAGGGAGGCGGACGGGGATGTGAGGCAGCACAGAGGGTGGCTGGGATGGCCGCGGTTCTGGGTGGGCAGGGAGGCCTGAGTTCACGCTAGGGCGGCATTTCTGCCAGGAGATGTGGAGCGGTGAGTTCTCCGCAGGCTTCTGGAAGCACTGCTGGTTCCCGAACAAGCCGACCGACTGCTCCAGGGCCGAGCGGGGCTCTCAGCAGACGGCCAGTTGGGGAGATCAGCTGGCGCTGGCGAGCCCTTCCAGCCAGCCCTGTCACCCCTACACAACTGTCGGAAAGCACAGCCGCCCATGGGCTTGGGGAGAAGTGACTGAAGGAAAAAGAAAAGAGTAAAAACGGAAGAGAATAAAGGGCAGGGGAGGAGAGAGGGAGCAGAAAGAGTGGATGTTGAATTTCAAAGAGGAGGACGGAGAACTCTGGCATCTGGACAGAACGACCGGGCTTTGGTTCTGGCTGACGGCAATTATACTGCCCTCTTAAATTGACATAGCTCCCGTCGCAGAGAGCCCCAACCTTAAAAACCTGGGTTAACGCATACAGATCCCCAACAAAATAGTTGCTTGAGATTCATCTGACCACATACCAAGAAAATAAGAAAAAGAAACCAAAGCAAACAAAATCAAGTTATTCAAGCAAAACCTCAAATTGCTTTGGTAAACCCAAATTCTACTTGAGGTTGAGTATCCCTCGTTTTTTTCAGGAAAGAGCCAAAGGCCAGGGACGGGAAAGCTGAAAAGCTGGACAAGCTGTCCCGTCCCCACGGAAAGTCAGAGTGACACAAAGCCCAGCTCAGAAAACTTTCCAGCGCACGGAGGTTCCCCGGCCGCCCGCAGCCTCAAGCTGGCAAGCGTCTTACGCAGGCGCCACCAGCCCTCCCCCAGGTCTTGTCCAACAAAAGGAAAAACTCCAGTTAAGATTTAATTTTGTTGGCCGGGCGCGGCGGCTCACGCCTGTAACCCTGGCACTCTGGGAGGCCGAGGCGGGCGGATCGCTCCAGGCCAGGAGTTCGAAACCAGCCTGAGCAAGAGCGAGACCCCGTCTCTACTATAAATAGAAAGAAATTAATTGGCCAACTAATACATATAGGAAAAATTGGCCGGCCATGGTGGCGCATGCCTGTAGTCCCAGCTACTCGGGAGGTTGAGGCAGGAGGATCGCTTGAGCCCAGGAGTCTGAGGTTGCTGTGAGCGAGGCTGACGCCACGGCACTCACTCTAGCCTGGGCGACAAAGCGAGACTCTGTCTCAAAAAAAAAAAAAAAGATTTAATTTTGTCAGTGTTTTTCTTTACTGGCCCCATACTCTCAACACATCTTACTCACATCATGTTGACGGGGAAAAAATCTTAATTTCGGCTTGACAGAGTTAAATCTTAGACATTCTCACAACTGTCAAGAGTGAACTTTACGCATAATGGTTATACTTCAAAGGAAAATTTCAATTACATCTGACTATGCTGAGAAATATACGTTCAGTGAAGGTAAGTAAAATTCAGTAACACCAACGGCTGTGGATACGAAAGTGATCTTGAACCTCACATCTTTACAACACGACGTGTCCAGCTGAGAAACAGGGACCCGTATGGCTGCTTCCGGTCAGATGCCCCAACAACTTCTCAAACTAACTTGCTGGAACAAAAGCAGAGTGGGCCATCTCGAGTTTGGCAAATAACTGCCACATCCTGGGTGCTTAAGAAATGCTGGTGCGGCCCGGCGCGGTGGCTCACACCTGTAATCCCGGCACTGTGGGAGGCCGAGGCGGGAGGATTGCTCCAGGTCAGGAGTTCGAAACCAGCCTGAGCAAGAGCGAGACCCCCGTCTCTACTATAAATAGAAAGAAAATAATTGGCCAACTAATATATATATATAGAAAAAATTAGCCGGGCATGGTGGCGCATGCCTGTAGTCCCAGCTACTCGGGAGGCTGAGGCAGGAGGATCCTTGAGCCAGGAGGGTGAGGTTGCTGTGAGCGAGGCTGACGCCACGGCACTCACTCTAGCCTGGGCAACAAAGGGAGACTCTGTCTCAAAAAAAAGAAAAGAAATGCTGGTGACAAATAAATCCCTAGGGACCCTGTGGGATGTAGCCGTATTCTTGGCACCCGGGTATCTTACCTCCTACTGCAGGACTCTTCCTACAAAAGGATATGTCCTGTGGCAAGCAGAAGGTGGTAGGGTTCCTCTCTAACCCTCTTCTCCCTAGCCAAATTACCCGTCTAGATCAGCTGTGTGCTGTGACGTCATCTCTACCTAGAGGCAAGCAGAGAAAGAGTCCTGTCAGCTGCACTTAACGCGTTTCTGCCTGGAATGTTCTTTTCGGCTGTAGTGAGGCCGTGCTGGGGGCAGCCCATGGTGCTGTGAGCCTGCGTCACCTCGAGCCAGGGGTAGTCACACCAACCCGCTAGTCTGCTGGGTCACACTTGGCTTCAGTACTCGGCTTCCTCTAGACGACTCAGAACTGCCAGTAAAAGGTCACACCACAACCAGGTGACAGACATATTATTTTTTGGGGCCAGAAAACAAAACGAAACATACTGGATGGAGCTCCCAAAAGTGGAATCAGAAAATCAAAACAAAAGCCAAACGAAAGGGCCACACGACGTGGAAGACCAGGATTTCTTGAAACACAAGCACTTCAGTAAGATTCCTTTGGTAACTAAACCTTAACTGAGAACTTGATATAAAAAAGTTGCATTAACAAATATTTTTTGACATCCAAGTCTTCAAAACATTGTGCCCTGATTGATGAAAAAATCTTAAGAAAAAAAAGAAAAAACACAAATCAATGTTCAGGGAAAGTTCATGACATTAACCTTTAAAGCACATTCCCTAAGACATGTTATTCCTTTCCTCATTCTCAGATAACTTTAAAATGATAAAAAGCTATTCCTACGGAGATCTTTTTCTGTGCTTCATGAAAAGTATGCACTTAACAAAGTCTATTTTAACAACTACGCCGGCTAAAACTTTGAGACAACAAATGTTTGCTTGATGTTTTTAACACTTTAAAAATCATGATCCAATTAATATGCAGAGAGCAACACATAAGACAGTACATGTAAAACATTGAGCCGGTTTCTGAAAAGTCAGAGCAAAAATCACGTTTACGGACACGACCCAAGTGCCGTAGGGAACCGGGCGGCGGCCGGCGTTTCCCGTAAGCGACTTACCGACCATGGCGCTGACCTCCCCGGCCATCAGGGTCCCCACCGTCTTGTTGTACAGGTTCACGTCGATGATCCCTTTCCGGATGGTCTCCCCTACTTTGGCCCCCAACAACACGGAGCCAGTGGTCTCGAACACGGAAGCCAAGATGCACGCCTGCCGCAAGGTCACCACGCCAGAGCCCACGGCAGTCCCAAACGAGTTGGCAACGTCATTGGCACCCACGGAAAATGCCAAGACAAAAGCTATGATGAAACCCAAGACCACCATCCACAGATACTCGTCCAGGGCCATTTTGGGAAGTGGGCTCCGGGTGACTTCTCCTTCCGCCGAAATATGTTAAATAAAACAAAAGCTCGAGGTTGTAGACTTTGTAAGGCCGAGAGTTCTTGTAAACAGTAGAGTTTGCTCTGGAAAGTGCTGGACCCCACGTTGGAGCCTGAACAAACTGCTAACTGCTGGCTTTCAAACCACTGTCAGTACAGTTCATTTGGTCGTGTTCAGTCAGCAGTAAAACACATTCCATATTTTCCCTCCCAACCCGGGAAGGCTGTGATGTCTCCTCCTGTAACAGAAAGAAAACAAAAGACATCAATTACCGTGAGCAACCTGTAACAGTTTGTTCTTTCTGAAATAAATGTTTTAAGCCTGCTAATGGGATCTAACTTTGGCATGTGACAGATCTAACCATAAAGCAATTCCAGACAGATTATAATTAGGATAACCTCCCCCCAAGTGGGGAAAAAAAAAAAAAACAAAAAACCACACCTGGTTTCTAGAATTAGCAGAGGTTGAGGCATGCTTAGTAATTATAGACTGGTAGATAGAAAGTCCCACTAGGTTAAGTATTTCATGCAATTTGAAGAACATAGTTTGGTTGTTATTTTCAGAGAGGAACAACTGCCTCAAATGAGTAAAAGATAAGCAGATGAGAAATTTAGGTTACACAGCCTTTCAACTAACTATGTGGAATGTGCCTGGCTTCCCCAAACAGCGATAACCAAATCTGACTCTGTGACACCACAGGGTGTGGCCGGTGACTTTCCTGCACATTTCCGCAAACGGAACGGGCACTTGTGCATGTGTCTGGAAGAAAGTTGACAAGCCCCAGTGAACACTCACTCATTTAGAGGATGACAAAGGCTCCAGCTCACTGGCTCGGCCTCCACCCACTCTACCCGCCCACCAACCCCACTCTGCGCCATGCCACTGGCTCTCGCTACTCCTTGACCACACCAAGCACACTCTAACCTCAGCTCCTACCCACTCTACCTGCCCACCACCCAACTCTGCGCCATTGCCCACTGCTCTCTACTCCTTGACCCACACAAGCAACTCTAGACCTCAGCTCCTACCCACCTCTACTCACCACCGCAACGCTCACTCTGCCATGCACTGCTCTTCTACTCCTTGACCACCACCAAGGACATCTAACCTCACTCTACCCACTCTACCACCCACTCTACTCTCCGCCATGCCACTTGGCTCTGCTACTCCTTGACCACCACCAAGCACCTCTAACTCCAGCTCCCCCACCTACCCACCCACCTCCTCACTCTGCGCCATGCCACTGGCTCTCGCTACTCCTTGACCACACCAAGCACACTCTAACCTCAGCTCCCACCCACTCTACTCACCACCCCCACTCTGCGCCATGCCACTGGCTCTTGCTACTCCTTGACAACACCAAGCACACTCTAACCTCAGCTCCCACCCACTCTACCCCACGCCCACCCCACTCTGCGCCATGCCACTGGCTCTCGCTACTCCTTGACCACACCAAGCACACTCTAACCTCAGCTCCTACCCACTCTACTCACCCACCTCCTCACTCTGCGCCATGCCACTGGCTCTTGCGACTCCTTGACCACACCAAGCACACTCTACACCTCAGCTCCACCCACTCTACCACCCACCACCACTCTGCGCCCATGCCACTGGCCTCTCGCTCTCTTGACTCACACAAAGCACACTCTAACCTCAGCTCCCACTCCCTCTACTCACCCACCTCCTCACTCTGCGCCATCCATGGCTTGTACTCCTTGACCACACCAAGCACACTCTAACCTCAGCTCCTACCCACTCTACCCGCCCACCCACCCCACTCTGCCCCATGCCACTGGCTCTCGCACTCCTTGACCACACCAAGCACATCTAACCTCAGGCTCCTACCACCATCACTCCACCCCACCCACTCTGCCACATGCCACTGGCTCTCGGAACTCCTTGACCACACAAGCACACAATCTAATCTCAGCTCCTACCCACTCTAACCGCTACCACCCACTCTGCCATGCCACTGCTCTCGGCTACTCCTTGACCACACCAAGCACACTTCTAACCTCAGCTCCTCAACCCACTCTACCGCCCACCACCCACTCTGCCGCAATGCCACTGGTCTCGACTACTCCTTGACCACACCGAACACACTCTAACCTTCAGCTCCTACCCACTCTACCCGCCCCACCCACCCACTCTGCGCCATGCACTGGCTCTTGGCTACTCCCTTGACCACACCAGCACACTCAATCAGCTCCTACCCATCTACCACCCACCCACCACCACTCTGCGCCATGCACTGGCTCTCGCTACCTTGACACACCAAGCATCACTCTAACCTCAGATCCCCCACTCTAACCCCCCACCCACCACTCTCGCCCCATGCCACTGGCTTTGCTACTCCTTGACCACAAAGCACACTCTAACCTCAGCTCCTACCACTCTAGCACCCCCCACCACCCCACCTGTGCTGCCACTGGCGTTCTCGATACTCCTTGACCACACCAAGCACACTCTAACTCACTCCTACCCACCTACCCCCACCCACTCCACTCTGCCCCATGCCACTGGCCTCGATACTCTTGACACACCAGCACACTTAACCTCCAGCTCTACCCACTCTACCCGCCACCCACCCCTCTGCCCGAATGCCACTGGCCCATTGCTATCCTTGACACCACCAAGCACACTCTAACCTCAGCTCCCACCCACTCTACCCACCCGCACACTCTTTGGGATGAAGAGGAGATGCCAAACTATATCCGTGAAGTAAAAATGTCACTAAAAACTTCGTAACTATGGCATTCTATTATTGGATAGCTAACGGACCAAATCTGTGTATTTTTTTTGAATGGTATTAGCATGCAAGAATAGTGCCTAGCACAATATGTTTCTTTGTAAATGCTTATTGAACTGTACTGAATAAATACCATGCCATATACAATATAATGCTTTGACTCATCAACAATGAGGTTATTTAGGGGAAAAAACCAGTTCGCAAACTTTTATGTACACAGAAATTATGGCAATGTTAAAAATGACCAAAAGGTAATATATCAAAATTAGAACCTGTTATAATATAATGAGTTTGAGTGGTAGGTTTTTTTCCTTTCCTCCCAAAACTGTATACTGTGGTTGCACGCTTTTCAAACAAAAAGAATATGTAATAAATAAATCAACACACATATACTAAGCACATGTATGTCTGCAAGCTACAGGCATACAATGAAACAGAAGCTATACGCTGATGGATCTTACCCTTTTCCAAGATTGCCTATGCAATTCTGGAGACTCACATCCCAAGTGAGATAAATGAAAAGACAACTCTAAAGGCAAGAGACAAGATTCCACTGAAAGAGTATTTTATTATAAGATGGAGACAGGTGCAGTGGCTCATGCCTGATAATCCCAGAGCTTTGGGAGGCGGAGGCAGGAGGATGGCTTGAAACCAGGAGTTTAAGACCAGCCTGGACAACAAAGCAAGACCACTCCTCTACAAAAAGATAGAAAAATTAGACAGGTGTAGTGGGCACCTGTAGTCCCAGTTACTCGGCTAAGGCAGGAGGACCCCCAGAGCCCAGGAGTTTGAGGTTGCTGTGAGCTACGATGACGCCACGGCACTCTAGCCCGGGCAACAGAGTAAGACCCTGTCTCTAAAAAAATTTTTTTAAAAAGATGGACACACTAAATGTATACCTGAAAATCAAAAAAAAAAAATCATTTTGGGCCAATATATTACCTATCTTAAAATATGAACAAATTCTTAATGAAATCTTCTTTCATAGGCTAGCCTGCCAATAGGGCAGACCAAAGCAATATCCGGCAAATATCAAGAACCTTCTTCGTGGCCGTCACTAGAAACTCAGTGATGAACAAAAACGGATGCGGGCCTGGCGCCCGGGGACTCTGGGGCAAAGAAGGAAGACAGATAGCGACCAAACAAACACGCACACCTATCACCATACCGGGGGGAGCAGCGCCGTGCGGGAAGGTGACCCGGCGTCACGAGAGCACAGAGGAGGCCTGAGCTGGTCTGGGGGCAGCCAGGGCCTCCGTGGGACTCAGCGGCAGTGGGGTGGCCCTGTCCCGGCATGGCTCGGTCTCTGGACGCAGGCAGGAAGCAGGGCCCCGGGGGCAGGGGGCAGGCGGGGCGAGGGAGGTCGAGAGCTCACGTTAAAGACAGTGGCCCCCACATGGACAGTGGGGTGCCACCGAAGGGCTTTAATCAGAGAGGGGGGTGCTGTCGCAGAAGACTTGGCAGTTTCTTTTTTTTTTTTTTTTTTTCGAGACAGAGTCTCGCTCTGTCGCGCAGGCTAGAGTGAGTGCCGGGGCGTCAGCCTAGCTCACAGCAACCTCAACTCCTAGGCTCAAGCCAATCCTGCTTGCCTCAGCCTCCCGAGTAGCTGGGACTACAGGCAAGCGCCCATGCCCAGCTAATTTTTTCTATATATTAGTTGGCCAATTAATTTCTTTCTATTTATAGTAGAGATGGGGGTCTTGGCTCTTGCTCAGGCTGGTTTTGAACTCCTGACCTTGAGCAATCCGCCTGCCTCGGCCTCCCAGAGAGCTAGGATTACAGGCGAGAGCTGCCGCCCGGCCAAGACTTGGCACTTTCGAGAGACTGCTCTCTGGTCGCGGTGTGGTGGGCGGCCGGGGAGGAGGTGAGAGAGCGAGTGGGGACAGATGACCGTTGACCTCGCTGCCGGGCACGGCCGAGAGCCCAGGTGTCTGGGCCAGGTGTGCTGGTGGGGCCGCGGGGAGCCAGCGATTTAAGAGGCATCTCAGTGGTGAAAGCTGGCAGGACTCTGGGTGACGGTTTACGTACGGGGGCAGAGAGAGGACAGATGGCTTGTGGAACTGGACTAAAATATAACCGAGGGCTTTTCCCTTGCGTCCCGCCGTGGGCAGTGCCAGGACCGAGCCATCCCGGGACAGGGCCGACCCCACTGCGGCTGAGTCCCACGGAGGCCCGCGCTGGCTGCCCCCAGACCAGCTCAGGCCTCCTCTGTGCTCTCGTGATGCCGGGTCACCTTCCTGCATGGCGCTGCTGGCCCGCACGGCGCTGCTCACCCGTGTACAGTGACATGTGTGCGTGTTTATCTGGTCACTGTCTGTTTTCCTTCACTGTCCCATAGGCCCCCGGCGCCAGGCCCACATCCATTTTTTCCCCCTTTTTTGTTGTTTTTTAATTTTAGTTTTCGGCGCTAGGATGGGGTGTGGTCACAGGCTAGCTTTGGGACACCCTGTCCAGATGGGTCCACGGTGGTGGGTGGAGGTGCCAGCCCC